TCTGCTTCTTTTTGTAAACTTTATGTGTGTAAACTTTTGTTTACTTGTTGGACATGAAAAGCTGGTTGGTCTAGGCTTCAGGTTCTGTCTTTTGATTTTTATATTGGAGTGGCCGAATTGCTTTGGTCTTGCTGCTCAGGAGTTCCCACAGAGGCCCATGTCAGATGAGGATCAGATGCTCTCAGGCTTTCTCCTAAGGTCTGGGTCCCTCCAGGAAAGATGGTGGCCTCAGGAATTTGAAGGCTGGCCTGGCCTGGGGGCAGGGCCCAGGAAAGATGCTGGCCCCAGGAAGCTGGTGTCTGTGCCGACCAGGGATGCAAAGGGAGGTGGAGGAGAGAAGAGGCCCGAGGGCTCCTGGGGACTATAGAGAGGAATTGGGTTGGTCTGGATGCAAAGGATCAGGAAGCAGTGGGGATTCTGGGCTAAGAGGTCAGTCGAGGGGTCTGGGGTGCCAAGACAAGAAATGGGCCAGTACCCAGACTGGGAGGAGAGATGGGGTGGGGGAGCTGAGAGGGTGAATGAGGCTGGGGGAGTCAAGGCGCAGTGGGCACCACCACATTTACCCAGGAGAGCTGCTGGTTCCAGGAAGCTGTGGGGCTGGGCAGCCCAGAAGATGCAAAGGGAGGTGGGGACAGGAAGAGGCCCCGAGGGCTCCCAGGGACTAGAGGGAGGAATTGGGTTAGTCTGGATGCAAAGGATCAGGAGGCAGTGGGGAGTTTGGGTTAAGAGGTCAGTCCAGAGGTCTGGGGTGCCAACACAAGAAATGTGCCAGTCCCTCTTCCTTCCCCACCAAGATGAACTATGTCCCTTGAAACTGTAAGCCAAAATAAACCCTTCCTCCCTTAAGTCATTTCTTGTCAGAGATTTGTTCACAAGAATGTGAAAATAACTAATACAGAGGGCATGAGGGGCACCAATTATAATGGGGCTCAAAACAGTTCCTTGTCTCCAGACACACACAGAGGACTGGCTGGCCTAGAGATGTGAATGATGGAACATGTGTATTAGTTATTTTTCTGTTGCTGTAATAAAACACCATGATCAAGGGAACTTATAGAAGGAAGAGTTTATTGGGCTTACAGTTCCAGAGGGATAAGATTCTGTCATGGTGGGGGAGGCATGGCAGAAGGCAACCAGAGCAGAAACCTGTGAACTCACATCTTCAAACACTGGCAGGAAGCAGGAAGAAAGTGCAACTAAGTGGGGCAAGGTTTCAAATTCTGGAAGCCCATTCCCAGTGATCTACTTCCTATTTCCAGTATATCCATGCCTCCTAAAGGTTCCCTGACGTTCCCCAAACAATGCCACCAGCTAACCAAATGTTCAGACACTTGACCTAGGAAGGACAGTTGCCAAACCACCACAGTGTGGAATGCACATCACAGAAGAGCAGAGCTGACAGCGACAGGCCAGCTTCCTTTCTAAGCAGGCAGGATGGCAGCTGTGAAATTTAGCAGTGGGCCTCCAATCCCCCCATCCAATGTTCCCACTGCACACTTCAGACCTACACAAAACAGATTAAAAGAATCTCGATGTCAAACCTACACAAACAGGTTAAAATAGCCTCAATGTCAAACCTACACAAGACAGGTTAAAATAACCTCAATATCAAGCCTACACAAACCAGGTTGAAATAACCTCAATGTCAACAGTCCAGGCTCCATGAAAGGCCCATTGTGTGGGATTCTATTTCTGACTGGCATGACAGAATTCCTGATATCTTTTGGGCAATGTAACTGAAACCACAGATAGCCACCTCACAACAGGTAAAATACACTCAGGCTTCCCGCCAGGTTTCGGTAAGCACACAGTTGGACTCAACTTCCGTTTCTAGTCCTCAAAGCAGGAAGACCTACAGCACAGGGCTGCCATCCTGCACAGCTACACACAGGCAGGTCAGATTCTTAGTTTCAGGAATGGTCTTTGAGTACCTTTTCCCAGACTTCAGTAAAAACTCTGCTCTTGTCTGTCAGTTCCATGGCTCAGCACCTGGCTGAGCACTTGGCCACCTACCCAACCAAGAGTCCATGTGTCCTCCAGCCTGTCTGAAGTTTCCATCAGTCTTTTTGGATTTATGGGCATGCAGTGCCTATTATTTTAAAAGCAATTAAGGCATGCCCACTTGAGTTCCTCTACCATTTATAGGATCACTGCATCCAGACTCTATTCCATGAGTCAAACGAGTTTTCATTAATGTTTAACTTGGAATGCATTATTTTTTTAAAAAAATCCTCAGACAGTAAGTGGAGAAAAGGTACAAAGAAGAACACTTTAACAAGCTCCACTGCTTTCAGTCTCTAGGGGTCACAAGGTCACCTTATGATGTCCCATCTTGCATATAATAAGCAGATGTTTGTATGGCACGAAGGGAGGTTGTCTAAGTTTATTGCACGGTACCAGTATTTCTTCTGGTCCCCTCAGTCCACTTTATACCCACTCATTCAACCACTCAAGCCATAGAAGAAAAATAAAACTCTCACCCTAGGCTTAAGACTA